ATCTCCAGTGGACACAGGCTGATAAACACTGCCATAAAGATAAGCTGTCAAGACGACTGCGTGAGCCTCTCTATCCCATCGGCATCTCGGCCGAGAGCAAACACCAAATGTCTGAATCCCACCGGGCAGCCATGTGGAATTCAACCTTCTGTCCAGCCCCTCTGTCCACTCCTTTAGGGACACCGCCTGCCCTTTACCAGATCGAATCTCCTTTTCTTCACTCTTTGTTCACTTGCTGTCTGATTCCTCTCCTTTTCTTTTTTTCTTCCTTTCTGCTTTCTCCCTTTCCATTTCTCCAGCTCAGGAGAGTTCCATTTCCTCTTTTCCTGTCCCGAGGTCACTCTGCTTTCCCCGTGTTAGCGATGCCCCGTCCTCATTCCACCCTCACACGATGAGAACACAGGCCTCCCTCCGGCATCGTCGGGGCGCAGGGATAAGATTCAGCAGGTTCACGGTGCAGCGTGAACAGTGAGGCGCCGTGAGCGCAGCCACCTGATCGGAAACCAGGCATTGCAACGAGTGTGGTGGGACTGGGAACCGTCCTCCTGCGGTCAGTATTCCAACGGTTAGGCAACTGCTGGCCAAAGACCCCTTGGCCCTTCCTGGCTCGTCTTCTGAGCCGCGATTCTGTGATTGTGACATGTACGCATGACACCATTCACTCACTTTGCAAATATTTGTGGAATCACTGAGTTTGGGAACCAAGGTCTGTGGGGCCCTTTCCCAGATGCTAGACTGCATTTTGCATAAAGGAAAGAGAGCAGGTGGTGTCTGCAAAAAAAAAAAAAATCTGTGAAAAACCCTTCTAATTTCAGGCGTCATGCTGTGTGGGTTTTCTATTTCTATTAAAAAGTAAGGAGAAGCCTAGCCCCTCAATGTTCAGAATGAGAGAAGAGTTCCAATGGGCCCAGAAAAAAAAAGTAAGAACGTCAGAATATGTCCCCATGTTTGAAAGTCAGCCCTCCAGCATGCAGACACTCGCCTACCAGGCATGGCCACCCATGTGCCCTCTGCCCCCAGGCCCCTGGAGAGCCACCCCAGCTTGAGTCCCCAAACTGCCATACTGCCATACCTTTCTATATATATATTTATTGATTTCAGAGAGGGATAGAAACATCAATGATGAGAATCACTGATCAGCTGCCTCCTGCACACCCTACTGGGGATCAACCCCACAACCCAGGCATGTGCTCTGACCAGGAATCGAACCATAACCTCCTGGTTCATAGGTCGATGCTCAACTACTGAGCCACGCCAGCTAGGCAGCAGAGACCCACCTTCAGGCAAAGGGTAGGAAGCAGTGTGGGAACCATCTCAATGTTGCTCAGAATTGTTTGGCCCATCCGATGGTCTCTTGATGTCCTAAAGTTTTCTTTGAAGCTAAGAAGGTGACAAGGCAGAAAGATCAAGGACTTTAGAGTCAGACTGACCAGGCCCTGAGGACAGACTCAGCCGTGACTACCTGCATAATCTCAGACAGGTTTCTTGGTCCTCCTGAAGTTGTTTTACCCATCGAGTGAGTGTAAGACCACCTCGGCTACAGGATTATTGTGAGAATTAAAGATGATATATGCAAAGTGCCTAGATGGAGCCCAAAATTACAGTTGTTAATATTGGCAGAATGACTACGTTGGATTTCAGGGGGCCAGGAGGATCTAAATATAAACTCTTGAATTCACACACTGGATGTTTAAAATTCTGCCCTTAAAGATTTAAGGTGAAAAGACATCAAGAGTCACTGCACAATACACACACACACACACACACACACACACACACAAACACACACACTCATCCTTAAAGCAAAACAACTGGTGGCAATAAAATGGGGGTTGGGGGGGGCTTTACTCATATATCTCCAAGAGGGAAAAAAAAGACTTTAGTTCTCATCTCTGCCCATCTGTCCCTGGCACAGCACCCAGTCCGGCCGCTGAAGCTGAGCTCTCTGCCCAATCCTGGCTCTGACAGGGCGAGAAGGCAGAAGGCAGAGGACAGGGCTACTGCCTCTAACTTAGAAAGGAGACCGAAGAGTATAAAGTCAAAGCCTGTTCCTTCGAGGCTGTTAGATGCTAGATTCTGTAGGCAGAAGAGCAACAGTGGCATCTACAGGGCAGCAGATGAACTTGGCCGGGGAAGCAGAGAGGAAGGTTAGGGAAAGCACTGCCTTCAGAACACTCCCCAGAACACGCCCCCACAGTGGAGACATCAGCTGCCGAGCTGGCCTCTTCTCTATACACCTGTAATGACAGGTGCGTGCACAAGTGCAAGCCACCGTAAACAAGCCCGTAGGTCCCACGCCCTAACTGACATGTTGACATTCCTTGCTCTGGCTGTTAGAAACACATCAAGCAGCCCACCCAGTGTGGCTCAGTGGTTGACCATCAACCCATGAACCAAGAGGTCACTGGTTCCATTCCCAGTCTCATCAATGTTTCTATTTCTCTATCCCTCTCCCTTCCTCTGTCTCTCAAAAACAAAACAACAACAAAACATTTTTTTAAAAAGACATCACACAAACTCATGGAGCTGGAAACTTGGGGAGCGTGTCAGCACAGTCTCTAGGGCTGGCAACCAAAACTGATTTTTCAAAGAAATGAAATCTGTCATTAAGATATTAGACAACTCATAGAATCTCTGGGGAAGGTGGGGAACTGGGCTCAGTGGGCAGAGAGGAACAAAGGGAGCTAAACATTCAGAACCCAGGAGGATATCATTGTGGTCACCCACCGCTGCCACCGGCACTGGGGGCTGGGCCCTGCAGCTGGATGTCTCAGAGAATGGCTGCTACCGGTGCTTCCTCTGCCAACAATGAGATCTCCATTGTCCCTGCTTCGTGGCACCACTAGCTCTCCATTTAAAATCCTAGGTGGTTGTGTCTGATTGGCCGATAACAGAGTAGCTCTAAGGAGAAAGGATCTTGCCATACAGAGGCGACTTCCCCAGACACAGAAGAGATGTTCCGCAGATGCTGGGCAGCCAAGCACAGACAAGGGTCCCCTACAGAATGGGATGCAGTGACAGCAAATTGCAGATCCATCACCAGGGAGTGTGTTTTGAGTTTGTGAGAAGTTGTGTGACAAAATGGGAAAGGAAGGAGCCAGGAATTCAAAAGGCTAGGTCCAAGGGCTGATTCTGTCACTTATTAGCTATATAACCTGGGCAGGTATAAATGAGCTTTCTGGGTTTTTGTCATGCATAGAATAATTATTCCTACCAACCTGGCACATCAGGTCATTTTGTTGAACAGGCTTTGAAAATTATACTATTACTGAGTAAATCCATTTGCCTGAGGGTCCCAGGTTATCCATTAGTAAAATGAGAATATTCCCTACATTGTCGGGCGACTGTGAGCTAAAGTTGAATATTATAAATGAACTAGGGGCCCGGTGCACAAAATTGGTGCACATTAAAAGGGAATTAATTAGAGGAAATATTTTAATATTGCTATTTGCCCTTTCTCTATAATAGAAGTGCCAGAGATGAAAGAAAATTAGTAAAATGTATATGAAAATCTTCCTCCTGTCAGAGGCTGGGGCAGGCCGTGGGACCCAGAGTCAAGTCCCTGCCCACCTGTGTGCACCTTGAAATCGCACAAGATCCAGACCTGGCTGGCCCCACCCTCATTGGGCGAGATCCAGACCCAGCCGGCCCCACCCCTCTCAAGCCCCGCCAGGTGGGGGGGCGCAGCCTCAGGTCCCCCAACCCGGCCTGGTGCCATGCAGCCTCAGGTCCCTGATCGCTCGTTACAGGAACCCCGCCTCTGCTGTGGGCGCAGCCATCTTGTGACAGTGTAAGGGTTAATTTGCATATTACCTCTTTATTATATAGGATGGCTTGTTTACAGATTGAAATTATTTTATGTTTGGGGTTTGCATCAAGATAATGGAGGTGGTGGGTGAGAGAGGAAGTGGGCAGCAATATAGGTAAGACTGACCTTGAGTTATTACTAAGTATAGCTAGCTGGTAGGCACATTATAGCATTCTCTCTACATTAGTATAGAAATCTTCAATAAATGTTTGTGTGTGTGTGTGTTTTAATGAAGTGTCACAGAAATACCTAGAAGAAACAGGCCACACTCTCCAAATTTTATTATTGAGTCGGTGTCAGGTGACGCCTCCACCATCACCACCCTCCTCCGCACTGTTTTCTCAGGACTGTGGTCTTCCCTCTCTCCCATCCCCTCCTCCCGGACTGGTGGTGCCAAGGGAAGCCTGTATCAGGGAAACATCTTCAGTGGCAAAACACTAGTTTGAAACGAAAACCCCCAAAGAACTAACCAACGTATTCATCAACAATAGAAAAACAAGAAAAACAAGCAAAACCAGTGCGCACACAACCCCTGGAGGAGGGCAGCCTGTCCCTGCGCTCCGTCCCGGTTCAGAGCACCCGTGAGGTCACTCTTTCCAAAGAACAAAAGCGGACTCACACGTCCCTTTTCCTACCACAGCATTAGGCTCAGGACCACGGGAAATGAGTCGCAAAGACGCCGCAGCAGGGAGCAGTGTTCGAGCTGCACGCCAGCCGCAGTGCAGTACCAGCGGTCGGCTCTGGCGTCCGCCCGGCTCCGGATGGCCCAGGACGCCGGGAGCCTGTGGGGTTCCGAGGGAAAGGGACCAACCGAGAGTGCCAGCGCCTCGCCTCCGGGGAACGACCACTGTCCGGGGTCCTGACAGGCCCAGGGAGGGACAGGAGCATCCTGAGACTTCACAACCCGACGCCGGGTGTTTAATTACGATCATGAACTCCGACGAGGAAAGGCTCCCCCTGGCGCTGGGAAGGGCTTCAGATCCCCGTGAGGCTGGGCCCGCACACAGCCTGTCAGCCTTGGCGATCTAACCTAACCACGTGGTCTCCCTTTTTAAAAACGCCGCGCGGGGCCTGCTCCGATCAGCGCCCGCCGGAAACAGGCCTTGCTGCCAGCGGGGCGGAAATACTTCCGCCCCCAACCAAGATGGCGCCCGCGGCGGGGCCGCTGGACGGAAGTGACCTGCGGGGGCGCCTGACGGGTCCATCATGGCGGCCACGGCCACCTCCGCCGCGTTCAAGCGGCTGGATCTGCGTGAACCCCGCGGGCGCTTTTTCGAAGACCCACGGAGCGGAAGGAGATCCGAGGCCTGGAAGCGCCAGGTTCGGGCCGAGATCGAGCACTAGAAAGAGTAGCTGCGGCAGATGATGGGGCGAGCGGTACCGCGACCTGATC